AAAAATATAGAATCATGAAAATTATCTACATCTGCAGTAAGAACTTCATTTCAACTAGAGATATTTCATGGTAGTACCTTGATACCTACCACTCGTCATCGTCTTCCAGAAACGCAGCATCAGGTGGTCGTGTTATCTTTGCATGTATAACGATGAGCTATGAACTCCGAATGATGACACTCTGTTTATTTCCTATCTGTTTATTTCTTCATTACAGTTTGTTCCACAAATGACCTATGCTCGTGTACCCTCCACTAATTTCACACTTTGGATCGCTTCCCCTAGGTGTCGTCCAAGGTATTTGAGGCACTGCATCGCGCTAGCCAGTATTTCCAGTTAGTTGAGAAGGTGCTAGTCCACATGATGTTGTGTGAAATTTTTCCGTGTTACAGCCTCGCCCAAGCTTATACTCTTAGGGGTGGGGAAAACGAGAAACGGAGAACATCTACAATCTGATTTGGCTATCAAATATAGTAGTTAGGTTGCGTCGCCGAGTAGGAAGGCACCATATAGAGTTTGTAACATCGCAATTAGTCGAACGGCGTCAGCAGGGCGTGATGACCCTTCCTCCGCCTGCCTTGTTCTACCAATGGTGAGCGGGTAGAGATCGATGTAGGAAGAAAGATATACTAGGTTTTCTAAACTGTATATTAGGTTGGAAAAAAGTCTTTCATGCTTGGTAATTTTGATTTAGATATTCCTCCGAAAATCGAGAACTTCAATAAACAGGAAAATTACCTCAGTTATATTGGGCAGCTGGCCATCTGTTAGGTAGCTTTCATTTTCGGCCCTCCCAGGAGTCCGCCAATTACGATGATGAGGGAATATCAATCTCATCTTTGAGTTGACGCAAATTACCAACTTTCTTATTTTCCAAATGATGCATTAGTGACGTAAGTAGGAGGTAGTCAGAGCTGTTGAAGCTGGCGAAGAGCTAAGAGTGGTCAGAAGCCCCAGCCAAGATCCACCTTTGGAATCGCTGAGATCTAGTAGGCGCGGCTTCGTACTTCAACTCGAAGTGGCGGTGGCTGTGCCTTCTAGAGATACTTTTATTTGGGCATAACTGTGGTCGTGTTCGTGTCAAGCGCAGATTAAGGTGACAGTTGTTTCAAACCAAAGTATGTTACGAGTAACTCATTTTATACCATGTCCAAGCGCCACGCCTACTACGTTTCAGGAATAGGAGTGTTCTCCGTACACTCCTAAATTCCTAGTGCGCTTGTTGGATCTCATTAACGTCTGTCAATCGATAATCGATTAGGATAGGGGCTAAAAAGGAGGAAATATAGGGCAACTGGTCAATCGTATGCTGTTTCTGCTCTGTGCGCTATGGGGTTTCGAAAATCCATTACTTACTTTTTAATCTTGTTCAGGAAAAATATGCTCTGGAAATTGTTGTGTCTAATTACTCTCCTATTCATGGACGTTTCATGTAGATCTGTAGCAGTGAAAGGAAATTTGAAATGTGGAAAATACCCGGCAGGTCAAATTCTTGTGCGGTTGTGGGATTCAAGTAGAGGTAAGGTTCAGTAGGAATTTCTATCTTGTTTTAGCGGCTGTATTCTTCCTCAGAAATAGAACTTTCAGTCATTGTGTACAGGAACATACTTTTTTCAGTTGAAGGCACCACAGATAAGCTTATCGACCAGACTCATTCTGACAGCGACGGGAATTTTAAATTGACAGCTCATGGAAGTTTAAAGAACGGTTGGCAGCCTATACTTAGTGTGCATCACGATTGCGATGATGCTAAAAATGTGAGGTCTTCAGTTTCACACCTTCTAATCTTTCATTTATGAGCAAAAGTGTAGTCTTTTAACTTCCGTGCAACAAAAACACTGCTATACGGTGCCTTAACCCATTTGTGACAATGTCCGCCACTGGTGGTGGACACGAAATGTCCACTTCGGACCATGTCCACCATATGTGGCGGACGGGCTTTTGATGAAATTTTTAGAAACAGTTCGAGTTCTTCGAGGAACTTTTCCCAGTGATACAAGTCTTCATACCTTTGTTAATTTATGCAAATAGTGGACCAACGAGATCTTCAGATATAAGGGTCCCAGGCACGATTCAACTAGCAGCACCTGAGCCCAAAACCTCTAGAAAAATTTCTGAAAATTTGCCGGTGCTTAGCAGTCGTTTCCTGAATACTGGTTCTCGAGCCTTTTGAAACACGAGTACATTCCGCTCGTCGCTCAAAACCTCCTTGCCACCAGGAGGTTTTGAGCCACCTCAATATGTCAAATCACCTCAATATGCAAGCTTACACGGGTTTTCGAGGGAAAGACTGTAGCACTAAATTAGCGCACATTGGCGCCAAATGGCACCGGAGGACAGACGAATGTCATTTTTGTGACCTGAGGAATAACCCCTGCACTCGATGGTTCAAAAAAGGAGATTTCGGGAGCAGAAAGTTGAACAGTGCTAAAATTTTTAGTAAGGGGTCACGAGGGACCGTGTCCACCACTGGTGGCGGACACTTGCTGAGAGCTCGCAAATGCTCCGGTCCGAACGAGCCGTTTTCGAAAAACGCGCCTGGTCGCAAATGGGTTAGGGCAATCTGGCGTTGAAATCAGTTTCCACTGCCAGACTATGAATCTGGAGCTAGTAGGTAATAGTACTAGTAATGAGAAATGGAATGATTCTGCTGTTTAAATCCTCTACAAACCATAGCATTCCAGACTGGACGCCGAATGTTGAAGTTCCGCCTTCCGAAGAGCTACATAGAAGACGGTGATAATCCTCAGGCACGTCCATGAACTTCTCACAACTCTGTGAAATCCATGTCGTTTCTTTTTTCTGTTAATTAAGGGGGATACTGAATAATTACGAGCAGATAATAACTACGAGTAGATACAGATATCCCAGGAACGGAGAGGCGAGGCTGCGTATTTGATGTGACCGATGCCAGTCACGTGGATAGTTCCCATTTAATACAGACGCCATCTTGCTGGACAATAGAATCAATTGTCCCAAGACCAACATATCTCACCCAAGACGCAGCTCAGCCGCATTCAAGTGAGATACGTGGCCACGCCCTCTTAACGTTCGGATATGGAGTACATATACTAGCAATGCGTGTAGCGTTAACCTGTGACCAGTGCTGTAATAGCCCTGGCTCAAAATACAGCACTGGGATGAATGAAATGACAATGTCAGCACCTCCTCTTTCCACCATTTCACTACATTCTTCCGACATCCTACCAATTTTGCAATGATTTTGTTAGTTCAACTCGAAACATTCGCGTCCAGAGGAAAGGAAGGGGGGGGGGCAGGTCTTGTCCCTAGCCAACCATCGAAAACAGCAGTTACATACAGTCCTCATCATTACGGACTGTCGGGGCGGCACAGCTGCACTGTGACGCGACAGCGGCTGCGGCTCGGTGACGGTGAATCAGCTGATTTCGATGGAATTCGGCTGCAAATTCCCACTTTTTCAGCTCTTCAAGCTTCTAAAGTGGAAGGTGAGTTATTCTGAACAATTTTGAATTGTACTGGCTCTGATTTCCTTTATTTTTATGTCGATTATTATGCTCTTTCCTTGTATTTTGCCTTATTTCAGGCATTTATTCAATTCAGAGTCAGTACAATTTAAAATTGTTCAAAATAACTCACCTTCCACTTTCGAAGCTTGAAGAGTTGAAAAAGTGGGAATTCGCAGCCGAATTCCATGGAAATCAGCTGATTCGCCGTCACCGAGCCGCAGCCGCTGTCGCGTCACATTGCAGCGCGGCTGTGCCGCCCCGACAGTCCGTAATGATGAGGACTGTAGTTGCGAATTTTGGCGGTGTGCAGTCAAACCCATCAGTCATACGAAAGAGGAGTAAGAGGGGTACACAGCGTTTGAAAAAAACTAAGTTTTTTCACCGGCGCTTCTTTAAAGGCAATTCCCGCGACCACACCTCATAGGTAATACAGTTCAAAAATAGAATTACCCTGTGACTGTTGACATATTGAAATAAGAAGGAACCACGAAAAAAAGCGCTCGCAATAAGACCCTCTTTATTTCAATTGATCATGATCACCGGACGAGCGTAAGGTGGTCAAGATCGATTGTGGATTGCAAAAGGCGGCGAGACACTGATAAGAGACGCGACAGGCCCACAAAATGACGGGTGAGAGAGCGCAATGGCAATGTCACAACGGCACGGTCACCCGAGGCTGGCATGGGCCTATCGGGCGCCAATGGGCCTAAAACATGAGCGCCGTGCGTTCTGCTTGCTGTTTTTCATTTTTTAAAAGCAGCATATCCTCTACTGTTGCCGGCTTGATCATCATGCAAGTTTATGAGGTTCTAGCCTCGGTTTATCGCAGAAGGTGCCTTTAACGGCGCTGTTCTCTGACAGGGCTGAGCTAGGTTAACAGTACAAATTCATAAATAACAGGATGATTCACTTTTCAAGCTTTTTCTTGAAGTTGCTGAGCTGAAAGTGTCAGATCTGGAGCATTCCAGAAAACATTTGATCTGGGAATCTTCAACTTGGAAGCTCATATCATTGAAAGCGAGGAAAGAGTGGAGCAAATCACCAGAAGAAGACGACATCGTTCCCGAGCTCACAGGTGTCTTGGCAGATAGTAGCCAAGGTAGTACTAATCAAACACATCTTTTTACAGATCAGCTAATCGCCATCGCGATCGCACCACCACTGCTCAACCACTTGATCAATTTGATAGTCCTGAAGATAGAATCGAGCCGTGGTGACAGGATGGGAAGTCTCTCTATGGGACTGCCCTTCATTTCATTTTCCTAATTTCCTTTTGCTACGACATGTTCTTCCTGATTCAGTATTGTTGAGAATGTGCTTCCAAGTTGCGACTGGAGAGGCTCGGTCGAGCAATCTTACACTGTAGAGATTGTTAGGTGAAGCGTACCGAATTCCGAAGTGACTTATCTGAAGTTGAGCAATTTCAGTAAAGCCTTTCATAGTATTCTTTAAATTTGACCGTGGAATCGGCGTAGTTCGCTGATGCATACTGTATCCTATCACTGATTTTCAGAACATTTTTATAGCTGTACAGTCTTGTTCGTTGCGGATGATGGGGCGTGCCAGTGAGGATGACTTTGGCGCGCCGACAGCCCCTTCTCCACTGCTGAAGCGGACTAGCGACAACAATTGGCGCAAAACGACTTTTACGAATGATATGATATGATATAGAATTGTCACTTACCGAAAAAAAGAACGGAAACGGGGTAGCACAGCGCCACACCCATCCCACTGACAGTCCCATCATCCGCCGCAAAGAAGATTGTAACGGATGATGTGAGCGATGAATGTTGCAGAGAATGATTTTACTCACAAAGTTTCTACTACTTTGTGCCGTATTCGGATTCAGCTTTGCATTTCGCAAACAGGGCGTGGCAGTGAAAGGTCGGCTTATGTGTGGAGAGAAGCCGTTGAGGAACGCTAAAGTAGAAATCTACGATTTGGATAGAAGTACGTGTTTTGATCTCTGCATGTTTATCAAATTCCGGAGGGTTTGTTGCTGAACTCGGGCACGACTGGTTAATGGGTTCCAGTTCTGCGGTAGGAGAATATGAGACAGCGACAGCACCTATGGGAGAATCCCTGCTTGTTTTAGGTTGGTGGGGCCTGGGACCGAGCTTGCCTTAGGATCAAATTCCCGGTTTTTTTTCGATTCTTTGATTCACAAGGAAAATTCTCTCAGTCGTTGAATTTTTTTCCTGTTTAATGCCTGCTATATATGTGGCTATACATAGAGAGGCGACGGTCGTGGATATGCACTTCCGTTGAATTCCCCCCCCCCTTGAGCAGCTGCGCTTTTGAGGGGAATACACTTCTCCGTGGGACAGCAAGTCTTTGTCCGATCCAGTGCGAGATGACGTTTGTCTCGATCTGAAAATCCCACCAGTAATCATTGCTATCTCGTTGAAACGATATGGCAAGCCACGCCTACCGCATGTCAAGGAATGTTGAGTGTTCCACCATCATGTGGTCCCCGCGAGGTTACTATCCACCCAATACCTCCGATAGATGAAGAGGAAATTCTTCCGTTCCTCATAGCTAACGCTCCACGCCAGTTGTTTGCAAAAAAGCGGTGAAATTTTCGGAAATCGGTAGGGAAGTGGTGAAGTAAAGGCAATATTTGGCCTGGGAGGGGATATTTGGCGCATATGCTAGTTCCTTTTGCTAGTTCCTCAGAACTTTGCACGTGCCAAATCCTAGCTCTTCCCAGTTTCGGACGAAGTTCATGCTTGTGAACGGTTTAACAGGAAGCCGCAGGTTTCCACAGGAGGAAACGGCATTAGTCGATGTGAACCAGCAAGATACCCCAGAGCCGAACTCGGCAAAATGGAAGTGGAAGAGGAAATCTCGAGCTTTGTAACAATGCCTCCGTTTGACGCAGTTCGATACTGTACCGTGATCGAAGAAGGCAAAGCCCAGGAGGAAACAGTCAGTGAGGAACAAGCAGTTTGGACTCGAACATGACGACGTCACTTATGAGCATTAGACGCGTTCATACCTCGCCACTCGATCGTTGGATCGCGCGATCGGACCGTGAAAAATGAACGCGCTCTTACCGCAATAGTAGGAGCACACATAGAGACCTCGTCAATCGGAGGGAACTGCTTCAAAGTGAGATCAGGCTCTGCCAAAGGACCTTTTCTTCTGAAATAGGCAACAAAGACGAAGCAATCGGCAGGGGAAACAATGCTAAAAAAAATGCATAAAACCCACCCTAGGCGGGCGGGCCATAAAAGGAAAACAGCAGACTGTGATAGCAAATGGTAAATTTGAGAATGAATAGAACACTTATGCCAAAAGGCCTAGTAGAGATAATTGTAGTCTCTTTGAGATCCCGGCGACCCAGACGATTTATTGGATGAGAACTTCAGCGACAAGGATGGAAGATTCGCGCTAACTGGAACAACTCGCGAATTGACGGATATTGAACCAGTGCTCTACATTTATCACGACTGTGAGGACGGAATAAGGGTGAGTTGATTGAGCGTGCCCTTTTTCTTCAACCTTCTGCTTCGTAAGGGTCCAAAATAGCAAATAATCCTAAATGGAATTATCAGAAATGTCCTCTACTAGCTAACAGAGAGGACTTTCCACAATTGGCTTCCCCTAATCTCTGCTTTTACCTAGTATCCCAGTATACTAGCCCCTCACATAGATACAAATGCTTCACTATGCAGATGATTTGGCAAAAATCGCCCTCTTTGGGGCCTTCTCACGGATTTCTCTGGCGGGAATCGGTACCTTCGCAATACATGTTCAAGGAACAAGGGGTTGACCCTTCTCTAACGTTCGGACCATGAATGTGACAGTAAATGGATGGGCGCTT